CTATTGCTGTTGCTCCTGTAAGGATGGCTGAAAGAACAGTGAAGATCTGCTTTCTGTAACTCTTTACACAAAAGTCAATTTTTTTTTTTATGTAGTGAGAGTTGCTTAGATAACTCTGACTGCTTTCACAGCTTACACTTCTCTCTACTTTCCCAGCAAAGCCATTCTTCGGACAATTCTTTGAGATTTCAATGAGGATGAAACCAGTACAACTTAAACGTTTTGCTTTCTCTTGTTAGTTACTCTGATACAGGGCAGATTTTTCTTTTTTTTCACTTAGTAATTTGCAGTCTCCTCTTTCTTCCCCTTTAAAAATTACTAGCTCTTCTACTGATGACAAAATTGAATTTGTCTTTTAAGAGTCTGTGAATGTTCTAGATATGCACAGTGAACTACTTGGTTTAAGCACATAGGTCATTACAAAAACTGAATAAGAACCATCCCTATTTATGCTACTTAAGGTTCTCCTATTTTACCCTGATGGTACAGCAATCCTGATTTCAGTACACTGACAATCTGATTTTTTTTCCTTACTTCAAATAGTGAAATTCTTAATAGTAGATAATACTGATGTAACTTGCCTGGAGGATAAAACTTATGTGGGGCATCATTCCTATGGCAGCTGTTTCCTTAATCTTGGCTGTGTAAAGTGTATGTTCTATATATATAACTTGGAGAAAGAGAGATGGCTTTTAATATTTGGCATTTCAGCATTCTTGTAGGAATCATTTCCCATCTCCTTTCAAGATAAAAAGTTTCATGTACTTTGCTGAAGCTCGTCTGTTTCCGATGATGTATTGGATGAGGAGACATGAGTTGTTACCTTGCTTTTTGGCGATGGCAGGATCTGCACTTTTTTCCACTGTGTAGGTCCTGCAAGGCCTGAGTTCTAGAAGTTTCCAAGTAAGCAGTATTGTGTTTGCTAAAGATTTTACCCAGGCTTATGTGGTGTTTCCTGCTCATTCCTCAAAGTGTCTGTTTTGATCATTTTTAAGTTTGAAGAAACATGACAATTTTTGCCATCTTTTCACAGAACATTCTGCCTACTGTGAATAAAGTGGTTGCTATAAGAGTTCATGTAAGAATTTCGTCTGTTAGGTGTCTATCTTCACTGCTCCCTTGCTATCACAGGAGCAATTTCTTCTAGCGGATATTTGCATGTGTGATGGGAGGTGGGAATTTGTTCTATAGTTGATACCGTGTGCCAGGGACCAAGCCTCTGCTCTCCTTCCCCGCAAAGTGTCAGAATTGCATTCTACTCAAATTGTGTCTGTGTTGGAAGCAATTGTTTAGATCTCTTCTGCATTATCAAATGTAACAGCAACAGAGTGTTCTAACTATTCATTTTACTCCCTAGGGGTGCTACCTCTGCAGGGGAGGGCTTGGGTGTTGCAGGGGAAGAAAATAAAGAAGATGCATTTGATGTTTTCCGTCAAAGAATGATACAAATGTACAGGCAGAAAAGAGCAAGTAAATAGGTATGTGCAATGGCCAGTCTGGTTTATGAATTCTTGCAAACTTTAAAGTACCTTTTAAAGTCTTCCTTTACCAAGAAAATATTACTGTTTCCATGAGTATATCTGGCTTCTTACTTTTCATGAAAATCCAGACCTACTTTGAACTTCTGAATTACCCCCAAATCTTACTTTCTAGGTTTGACATAAGAGAGTCGCTTGCTAGAAAGTGCACGGATATGCAAAGGCTGCTGTGTGAAAGATCTTCAGCAGAGCATGCCAGCGTGGAGAACGCTCTGTTCTAGAGTATCGGACTTGAATGATAACGTATGAAAACATTTTCCAAGATTCAAGTTAGTCTTGTATTTAATTGTGCAAGCTAATGACTTGGATGTCATCTTCTGAGGAAGAAACAACTGAATCGTTCTCGGAAGTGCCTGATTACCTCTCTCTTTGGCCAAGTTTGCTTGTTACATGATGAGATGGGCTCCAAACAGAATAAGCAACACTAAAAATGGGACTCTCCAGCTTTGGTTCTGTTCCTTTCTGAAGCCAAGAACCTTTCAAATTCTGATCTTACTGCAAGGCAGTTCAGTTTTTATTTTGGTAGGTTTTGTTGATGGGCTAATCTTTTGATCTACTTCTGGAGTCTGTGGAAGGCAGAGTCCTTTCCTCCATACAGCAATTTTAAGAACAGTCTCCACTACCTGCATGCTTATTTTGTATAAGATTCTCTGCTTTAAGTGTAGGATGGATAATGGTTCATCCGAGTTTGAGAACACTAAACTCTTACTTGAAAACCTCAGCTGCTACGTTTTTTTCATTGTAACGAACAAGCAGTACACATTTTGAGTGTACTTTTATGCTTTTACACAGATCTGCAGCTCTTGTCCAACGATTCTTGAATAACTTCTTTCCTTCTCAAAGTTTAAGCCATCAACATGTAATTCATGTGTGTGCAGAAAATACTGAAGAAAATGCTTGGAAGTTAGATGTTCAGAAATCATCTGGAAGCGGATCATCAGTTGTGTAAGACCATCAGTTTAGAATGATTTCTGTTTCTATTAAATAGTTGCTTTGCAGAAGTTCTTTTATTGAATAAATCCCCCAAAATAAGACAAAAAGCTTGTAAATTGAAGGGATTATTCTAGAATTTACTGAAAGAAGATTGGATTAATCTGCTCTGCTTCGATAAAAACACATTGCCTAACTTCCTGGTGAAGCAGTTCTGAAGAAATGGAAGATTTAACAGTGTTACTACAGATAAATGTACAAGGTCTGATCATTCATCCTTTTCAGACTTGCATCAATAAGGGATCTGCCTGGATTACTGAAGTGACAATATCCCACTTTTTAGCATACTCCTCTATCGTTACCTTTCTAAAACTAGTGAAAAATCTTCACTTGAATGTTACACTAACACTTTACTGAAGCTCCATCTAAAGAGAGTGTATCCTGAGCTGCCGCATGTTTTGCCTGCTAGGAGCGTGTGCTGTCGTGCTGCTGTCTTCCCCCTGCACCGTGCTGCTCGTGAAGCAGAGCTTGTGGTATACGGCTAATAGCACCTCCCAGCGAGGTGGCAGCGTCCCGAGTTCCTAACTGACAGCGTGCCAGAGAACGTGTTCAGTTATCAACTTGCCTGTGCCTGCTGTTTGAAGGACAAAATCGTATTTTCTCTCTCCGTTAAAAACCTGGTTGAAAAGGATTGTCTTATTTTCATTCTATAGCAGCCAACTTTTCCTTGCTTCTGACAACCAGTTTTAGTTTGTTAATGCAAGACTTGTTTGCTGTATGGGTCTGTAACGCTATCATGTCATGATATAATTTTCTGATCATTCAGTTTGAGCTGGAGCACATGAACACTAAATAAAACCATAACAGCAGGTATAGAAAATGTCATGCTGGTAGCTCTGGGTTTTTTGTGAACATATGTGTCTTCACCTTTGCATTGCAAGAAGTGAGGCATCAAGACCATACCTACAGACAAGTTTCTCGAGGTTTGTCTGGCTACCACGCTTGATTAAAGAGGCTTTGTAGTCCAGAGATTTCTTCAATCCCTGAACATTTTGGACCATGGGCTACCTTTAAGATCATCCGTTACAGCACTTGGCAGTGTGCCTACCTGTGAAATTCTTGTTTGGATGTGCTCTCCACTGCCCCCCTCTTCTTTCCTTTGCCTGTCTAGCAGGGACTCGGTGTACAACGTGAACCTTTCAGGAGATCTGTCCGTCACGGGCCGTTCTGGACTGACGCTCTGGACCCAGTACTTTTGGCACCAGAGTTCCTGCTCAGATCCAGTCCCCAAGAATTCAGCTTTGCTTTTAGCACTGTGGATGAGGCTGTGGACAGGGTTGCTGTTCACATGTTTTTTACTTCCCTTCAAGCTTCCTGCCCACCTCTTCTTTCACGTTCATGTTTGGGAAGCATTCTTCATTGTATGCTACAATATTTGCAGGAGAGCACAAGACAAAGTGTTGTTTCACACTGCTTTTGAAATCCACTTTCTGGACCCCGATCAGCATTCTGCACTGTTCGGGTTTAACCTGAGGTTGCCGTTGGGGTGCATTTGCTAAACACTTGCTTCCCCACCTGGGAAAGCTGTCGATATCCAGATTGGAAAATGGTATTTCCTTTCTGAGTGCAATTCAATTTAGAACATAATGCTGTCTTGAAAAAAGAGATGAACATTGGGAAAATCTTAACCAGCTACCCTGGATGACTGTAATATGGTCTACCTTTCTTGTGCCAAACTTTAGTTTTGGACAAGGTAGAAGCAGGGCAGCGCTGGTGCTGGAATTCCAGTATTGCTCTCAAGTGGGTTACTGTTGGCAACTTTTATCTTGTTTTACCAAGAGATGACCTTACACTCCTTTTGCAAAAGGAATTTCCTTTTATTTTGACCTGCTTTTGCAGGCAGCTCTGAAAATTTAAATCCATGTACATGTGAAACATTTGTTATGCAGATACATTGCCTTGTCTACAGTTTACTAGCTTCTTTTCTGTTATTTTAGTTCCAGGCTCTCTTCCATGAAGACTGCAAGCTTCAGTGAACATTTTAACTAACTTCAGTGGTGTGTCTGCTGGCTTTTGGTTGTTTTCTTTGCCATTAATCTTGTAGAGCAATTTGCTAGTTTCTGTTCCGTGCAAATTGGCAGTAGTGCTAAGCTAGTAACAATTAGATGCTTATGTTATTGGATAACTGACATTTCTTTTTAGTGTAAGTAAACCTGTTAGCATTGTTAATCTTTTAATATCTGCAATAAATGTAGAACTAAACAATTCCTGGTTTAAATGTTTTGCTTGTGAATTTGGCCCTTTGTGAGAGATATGCATCATTTTGGCACTAACAAGTGGGAGATTATGCAGTTTTATTTTAGTGTAAAACAGGATTTTTATAGCGTGAGGGAAGGAAGGTCCCTGTGTTTCTGTGGTGCTAAATGGTTTCTGTAAAGGATACCCATTAAATCACTTCTTAGTTACTTTTAGTTACTTTTTCATGGGTTCCAGCTCATGAAACCCATGCACAACAGTGTTATGTGCAACATGAATGCAAAAAAAAGTTGTTGTCCAGGCAAAATGCAAGAGTTTTGCCCGTATTCACATCTAAGGAATTAGTTCTGTCTTCGATTTTTCTCAGTGCCCTGAGTTTAAAGGCAGCAAAGCTTTCTCTTTACATATACATGTGGTTTACTGTTGCATTTCAATTTGCATTCTTTTTCAGAAAGGATGTGAGGGGAAAAATACAACAAAATGAAATTTAACACATGTACAGCAGCCGTCTATGAGAGGTAAAGTGAGCGTTTATTTGCTAAAGCCATAAGCCAGGTCCGCTTTTCCTTTCCTTTTCTCCTGACAGCTATAGCAAGCATTCCTGAGACAAGGTCAAGTCTTTTTTTTAATTCTTCCTGCTTTTCCCTCAAAATCTTACTAAGCGTATGGATGTGGTTTGGGGAAAAAAAAAGGAAGTTTGCTGTCAGGGGAGAGAAATGAGGCAATCCCCAATTTGTGGGAGGTGCCCTAATGGAGTAAAAGAACTACAGTCGTAGCATTTTTGCATTGGAGCAATTGTGTTGGACTAATACAGATGTTTTCATTCTTTTGCTTTCAAAAGTTGTTGTTGTAATACCGATGATATTTTTCCTATTTATTGCTTTTTTAATATAAAACACTACAGCATCTTTAGTGTGAACACTTAATCTGTGCTGAGGTATTATTTCTCAAAAATCAATGTACAGTATTTTATTTTTTTCTATTGATATTTCATTCTAAACATCTTCTGGTTTTGTGCCCAAAGAAGGTCTGGACTCTCAAATTCAAACGCTGATACTTTGGCTTGTTTTCTGTCCTGTAGTAGCTATTTCCTTTATAAAGCAAAGCAGGTTTCTGGACGTGCTGTGTCATCTTTCTTTCTGCATATCTCACGAGCGAGTGGCCATTCACAACGAGACTGTGCGTTTGAGCAATAACGAACACCTAAACGGGACCATGCTCAAATACTTGGGAAATCACTAGCTGTTGTGAACCGTGTGGAGTAGGTATCTTGCTGAATTGCAGCAAGGGTGGAAAATGTTTGCGTTATCTGTGGGCAATAAAGTTACTGCTGTTGAAGAAAGCACTAGCACATGGTGTGTTCTCTTTGGCGTTTGTGCCTAATTCTTGTCTTTAGCAGGTTCTGCTAATTTCCTTTAAATTCCTTCCTAGGCAAAACTTGCTCTGAAGGGCTGAGAGCTGGTAAAGGGGAAGGAGTATTTCAATACTATGTCACCAGGTAATAAAGTATTAGTAAAGAGCAAAGCAAGAAAGGGTCTTATTTTTAAAACAGCTCTTTGGCTGAATGTGATTGCAGCATATTTAATTTGTGGAGTTAACAAAAGTTTCCGACCTTGAACAGTTTTCAAGATTTAGAAACCCAAACAGTTTTTGGATGAGAAAGGGGAAAAAAAATCTAAAATGAGAGGCTTTTAGAAAGTCCCACACTACTAAGATGAAAATTGGAGCTGTAAGTATGGCTTTATTGGATACATTACTACTTAGTTTGTATATTTTATATTAAAATAATTTTATAGAATAAGCTTTGTTAAGTTTTGAAAGCACACAAAAAAATCCCAATTTTATTTTACTATCGCATCCCTCTATTTAAATCACTATGGTGTTGCTGTTCTTATCTGCCTTTCCCTGACGAAAATGGATATAAATCCCCTAGGAGATAAATTGACGCTAAAGAGGGAACTGAAATGTTTCTGTCCCAAAACCAAGGTATGTCCCAAACCACCAAGTAGCCGTAAAGGTGGCAGGGGAGACGGCCTCTATCGCCGAGCTCAGACGGGTTTATTCTTTCGCCATCTTTTCCTAGGGCTCAATACAGCCCCAGGAGGGGTGTCTCGAGGAACGCGGGGCTCTGCCATCTTGGGGGGGCGCGAGGCGCCCCGCGGGGGCGACGGGGCCCTGCGTGTCCGTGTCCGTGTCCGTGCGGGGCCTCCCGCCCCGCTGCCGCTAAATGCCCGGGACGGGGCGCACCCGCAGTGGGACCTCCTTAAAAACGCCCTGACCCGGCTTCGGCCAACGCGAGCGGTTTCTTTTGCTGCCGGCATTTGCCCAGAGATGAAAGCCTGTGACGAGCTCAGGTTCCTCTCTTTATAAAAGCAGATCTGGATTCTTGCTTTGTGGCTTTGGTAATTGCGGATTACAACGACCTAGCTTTAATTTTGCTTGATTTTCTGGCATCACCTGCAGGGAATGTTGATTTGGACAGACTGCCAAGATTTCAGACATAAAGCTATCTAATCCTAATTAAACTGGTAAAATACCAGTTCTTCTTAACATGTGGCTGATTATATATATTTCTATGCATGGATATGTATATATATACGCATATATACTAGTGAATTGCTGTAGAGAAGAAAGCAATCTTAGCTATGATTTCTCTTAGATACTTAGCTGCCTGCTGCAGGTGTGCTTACTAGTTTTTTCTTTTTGTAAAATATTATTTATATACCCTGTAAAAAAGCTGAGACATTTCAGATTGCAAATAAGAGTTCCACATTTGGCATAAAGTTAGGAAATAAATACCTCCTTCAGAGAAATAAATGCATCCTTCAATAAATTGAAGGAATAAATAATTAGATAATTCACCTTAATTATGAACAAGGTTTTGAGAAAAATGAGTTAGAAAAGATGTGTAAGCAATTGTGACATTGCCATCTGAGTAGGATTTAATTCAGAATAGTAACAATATAGGTAATAGCTACAAAATTTTACAAAAGGACATGGTTGCCCATCTGCTATAAAAAGGGAACCCAAATACTACGTTGAACTTAAATTACTTGTAATTCTAGAATGTCTGGAAGTCGTTACTGGAAAGGAAAGTGTAAGAGGTTGCTTTTATTTCACACATTTCAGGAAATGTTTGAAGACTACAAGTATTTACTTTGGAAGTCTTCAGCAAGGCTTTCTCAAGAACCATGAAGAAATTGCTAACTGTAATTATTTAATGTCAAGGAATTTAAACTGGAAAAAAAAAACCTTCTAGTCAAAATGGGTAGCACGGCTGTTGTCGTTTATCTTGTTTTGCAATTGATGCAAGGGACAGAAGCATCTGTTGTGAACTGCATTCCCAGAAAAACAGTAAAATACCAAAGTAAGTGAAAAAGGGTAATTTAAAGTCAACACTGGGGAGCATAGCAAAGGGTTGGGGCTTCATTTTTAGGGGGAGGAAAGCAAGCCCTGCACTGGTGGATCTCGGTGGCAGCGCTTGTGCTTGGCCACGTTCCAGTGAGGAATGCCTGCCTGTATCCAACGGTAGATGTATACACCGTATGCATTCCTATGCCACGTACCTCATATATTCCTACTATATTAAAGTAGGAAAGACTCCAAGCATCTAGCCAAATATGTTAGTAGTATTTAGAAAATGTTCAGGGAACACGCCTAGACTTTATCTTCATTTTGTCGCTATTTGTTTTCAGTCAATAATTTTGATTATATAATAGGGATAAACAGTTTTTGAAATAACTTACCCTCTGTGTTTAAAGCTGGAAATATAAAGACTTTTATGAAACAAGGATTATCCAATGTTTCCACTCTCCTTGTGAATGAAGAAACCGATACCTTATTTGTTGGAGGCAGAGATGCTGTATTTGCTCTTGACTTGAATAATATTTCTAGAGAAATAGCCAGGGTAAGTTAAACATCCTATTTCAAGCCTGGTTCATAAGAATACACTATGCCATATATGTTACAAAGATACATAGAAATGCCAGCTTACCTCAATACATTCAAATATTTTGTTTTTATTTTTGAATATAATTTTTGTAAAAAAATGCAGTATCCCAACTTCCATGTATTTTTGGCTTATAGGAATACTGGTTTGCTACACAGGAAAGACAACTGGAATGTATTCATAGAGGAAAGGACAAGGTAAACAAAAACTTTTGTTTCCTCCTCTTACATTGTTAACTAACACAAAAAATAACTGCAGTGTCATTATTATTATTATTTATGTATACGTTTAAGAAGTAAAAGCAGTTTCGTTTCAATCTTGCAGGTTTGTGTCTTGCTGCTAAGACACCAGAAAAATTTCAATCCAGCTAAATTATGTAAACCTGCCCTCCTTTTATTTTCTATTTTAGATAAGATGCCAGAACTACATCCTGTTCCTCCATAAGATAAATGACTCCAGCTTGTATGTTTGTGGGACCAACGCTTATCACCCAGCCTGTGATCATATGGTAGTTATGTTTGGGTACATTGTACTGAAATGTTGGAATACTATGGCACATCTTTAAGCATCTTTCTGAAAATATTCCTTTTTAAAAACTTGAAACTTTTATGATTCTTTCATAGAAGCATGAAAGTCCGGGAAAACGTGTACCAAATGTTACTTCTTTTGACTTAAAATGTGCATTTCTATATTAACTCTTCCGTGATCGTATCCTTTAAAGGTTATCGTTTCGTTTTAGCCCCTGGGAGCCATTGATTATCACCCCATTAAAATGTTGCTTTCCGTAGGTTATCCACAAGACAAACATGAGTTTGCAAGGAAAAGCTGAGGACAGCAGAGGAAAATGTCCCTTTGAACCGACTCTGAAATATGCTTCTGCCTTTGCAGGTATGTTTGGACTGCTAGGCTAGCTCAAGGTTTTCCTCATCTAAGCTTAATTTTTACTGTTATCCTGATTCGATTTTTGCACAAAATGTCCTGCCCAGTTTGCTTCTTAGGGCTATTTCTTTGCATTTTAAAACTAAGTACTTTATGCTTTGTTATTTCTTCCACAAATTGAAGATGGTGCATTTTATTCGGCTACTTCAAATAATTTTTTGGGAACAGAACCTATAATACTCCGCAGTATGAGGAACCCTGTAAGAACAGAATTTAAAACGTCTTGGCTAAATGGTAAGAAGTTATTACATATATTTCAGTCTCTCAGACTTCTTTTGATGTGGGTTGTCTGTAGAACATCATAGTGTATGTTACGTATTGATTTTGCAATGTCCACCAAATGTGAGCTTTTAAACTAAGGACAAAATTTTATATAAATTTGTCACTAAGAATGGCAATGCTGAAACAAACCACTCTTCCTGAAAGCACTGTTTCTTCCTTAATTTTTGATAGATTCTAACTCATAATTATTTTCCTGTCCTTTTCCTATCCATTGCTCCCCAAAAAGGGTGAATTGGATACTTGATTTTAAAACCATGTCTGGCATTTGTGGGTTTTTATAAATAAACTTAAAACATTTTGCATATTTGTGTATTTCAGAACCAAGCTTTGTTGATATGGAAATAGTACAGGAAAGTGAATCTAATCCAAATGGAGATGATGATAAAATTTATGTGTTCTTCACGGAAACAGCTGTTGAATTTGAATTCTTTGACAAGCTTCTGGTGTCCAGAATTGCCCGTATCTGCAAGGTTAATATTTGTAACATAAAGATTATGCTTAGTGTATTTCAAATTAAGTGTCATAGCTGAAGGATTAACAGTGGGATCTACCCTGTCTCACTAATTGGAATGCTATCATGCATCCTTTGTTTTTAAGCTAGTTTCTTTTTTTTTTTTCCTTTCATTTTGACCTTAAATTTGTATTGAAAGGCCAACTGTATTTTTCCTTAGCACAGTGCTATCAGGTGAAAATTACATCTATTTCTCTGTATGTTCCACAGTGATTATGTTATTCTTTCATTCAGGGTGATCTTGGTGGGAAACGCATATTGCAGAGAAGATGGACATCGTTCTTAAAATCCCGACTTTCCTGTTCCATTCCAGAGTTAAATTTCCATTTCAATATTGTCCAGGACATCTTTTTACTTCGGAGAACAGACTGGCAAGAGAGCATTTTTTATGGAATTTTTTTCCAACAATGGTGAGAGAAAGGACTACATTTGCTGCTAGAGTTTGTAATGAGCTGAGTAGAGCGTTCTCACTCCACTATTAATGACTTGATTGCAGCTATTTGTCTTTAACTCAGAATAGGAGGTTACCAGCTACTCTGCATGTTTTAATGGACCACATTTGTTTTCTTTGCAGCTTGATCCAAATGAGCAAATATTATCATCTTCTGAAGCAAAATGTTGTTTCGTTGCTGGGCCAAAGCCTTCAATTAAAGACTAACCAAAAGCTCTTCCTAAGCCAAGTATTTAATGTTTTCTCTGTTCAGATGGTGGAGCAATTAAAACTAATTACATATAAAATTACATAATTAAGAAAGCTCTAGATTCTTCTAGGATTTTTTTTTCCCACTAAAGGAAGTAGCTGGCATTTCAAGGTGAAGAGTTAGTTTTCTATTCCAAAAGCGATGTCTGTCGTGGCCTACTTGTCTAAGGTGATTTTCTGTAAAAATAAAAGCAGAACTCCAGTTTACTTCCTTTCATATTTACTGCTAACTAGCTTTAGCTGCTGCTCTGACAACTGAAGAGAAACCAGGAGTGTATTGAAACATTGTGTCAGAAATTAGCAGTGACACAGTAATTGTGGGTACATCATTTTCATATTTTATAATAAGCATCAGAATTCTCAGACCAGGGGAAGCCTATCTGTTCAAAAGAGAGGGGCAAAAGGACCTCCTCATCTCAGCCATCTCGATTTACGTGAGGACTGTTACTTGATTTTAAAGAAAATACACAGTGCAAATATATACCATCTTGTAGAAGTGTCTCTGCTTTTTCCCCTCTTAATGAGTCATGAAAAAAAAGCCAGAGGGAAGTGTTTGAAGTATTAAATATCTTTTGACTAGCCCTCAAAAAGATACCACAATGCACACTGTGGAGAGCAGATTGTTTTACAGCTTTTCTTTCTATTTAAAGGCTAATGCAATGTTTTTAATTCTTTGAAGGGGAAGATTGGACATATCAGCTGTTTGCGCATACAACATGAACAATATTCAAGAAGTCTTCTCCAAAGGAAGCTACAAGGGACCAGTAACTGTGGAACCTTCCCATGTTAAATGGGTGGTATACAGGGGAGAAGTGCCAGTCCCCCGTCCTGGTGCTGTAAATGTGAATTTTATTGTTCTAATTAAAGAACGATCCCTGGATTTTCTTTCTTTAAAGTACATATTTTGCCAGTACAAATATAGTATTTATAACCAGCAAAGTCATACTGCTTCCTTATTCCATGATATCTGTACATGGATGTATATGGAGGTTCCTAGAAAAGCAACTTTACTTGCAGCTCTGCTCGGCAAAGAAGCTGGGGTTAATCTTAGAGTATGAGGAAAATTACTATTTTTCTTTTGCTAAGTAGAAAGAGTTGCATATTTAGAACAAAAACAGTTTTTTTTTCCTTTATTTTCTTTCTTTTTGTTTAAATACTTGGGTGCCATGTAAAAGCAATTGTAATCATATTTGTTATGTTCTGTTTCTAGTGCATTGACAATTTTGCCCGGAGTATTGGATATAACACTTCTTCTGACTTGCCTGACAAAGTTTTGCAGTTTGTTCGAGATCATCCTCTAATGGATAATTCTGTAAATCCAATTGGTAACAGGCCAGTGCTACTGAAAAGAGGTTCAAACTATACCAGGATTGTAGTAGACAGAGTCACTGGCCTTGATAAACAAACATATGATGTTATGTTTCTAGCAACAGGTAAGTGCTTTTATTTTAGGAAAAAAATGCTATATAAGTTTATGGTTTTTCTCCCTTTTTTTTTTCCCTGAGATTTCTGAAAAGTAAAAATATTCATCAACTTCAGGTGAAGTTTTGCATTCAGAAGTTGCTTTACTAGTTTAGTATTTTCTTCCCAGTTAGATTAAATTTGTTTGGTTTGTTGGTCCTTAAAAGGCTCCCATTAGAAACTTTCTCTATCAAAGCAGCCCCAACATAATGCTGTTGCCAAATTCGTGCTTGGTTGGTTGTTGGTTTGTTTTCCCTGAGAAAAACTTTGCCTCTCCCTTATTGAAATAAAAAATTGTTTTGAAGAGTCTCAAAATTTCCCTATACCCAAGAATTACTTGTGAATCTCTGTCTAATTTTGACATTAATTTTAAAGTTAAAATATTATGGGACGTTTAAACAAATTTGTCCTTAAGAAATACATTTCATTTCATGTAGCTGATGGATATTTGCATAAAGCTTTCAACTGGGATGGGGAAATGTTCATTGTGGAGGAGCTACAGCTGTTTCCATCTCCGGAGCCTGTGCAGTCTCTCCAGCTGTCTTCTAAAAAGGTAGAACTTCTGTCCCCGTGTATGCAAAGCGACTGCTGTAATAGTTTGCCCCAGGCCTTCCCCCTCTGTGTTTTCCTTTTGGCTCTTGAATGCTCTGTGAACGTCTCATAATTCTATTTCTGTCACGTATTCATTGACAACAAAAGCACAATAACTCTTTTTATCTGTAGATTTTTTTTCTGCATCGAAATACAACTGAAACAAGCTTTTATGTTAATTAAAAAATAGGCAAGGAACTCTGTCATTTTGCATGCTATGCAAAGCTGTTTTTTTCTGTCGTCCTCTATTTTTATATCATCCATCAGCTATTCTTGTAAGATTTTTCGGTTACTATCTTTCTTAGTAAATGCCAGAGAGTCTTACAGTCTGTATTAGGAAATACCAGTTTTAAAACCCTTCTGGAGCACACACCATTGTAAAACAAGACCTCGTGCTGCGTTTCAGGGCATGCTGTATGCGGGCGCTCGGTCCCGCGTGGTGCAGCTTCCCGTTGCCGCGTGCCACCGGTACAGGCAGTGCCAGGACTGCGTCCTGGCCCGGGATCCCTACTGCGCGTGGGCCCGGGCTGCCCGGGAATGTGTTCTCCTGGCAAACCGATCCAGGGATTCGGAGTAAGTGAATTCCCGTGGTTTGCAGCTGGGCACCTGCCGTGCGCTCCTGCTGTCTGCGGCACCGCGGGACACCTGGCAATGGTGTCTCCTAAGCTGGAGCATTTTTATCTATTTTTCTTTATCTCCCCCTAGGAATTTAATTCAAAGTGTTAAATACGGAGATGCTTCCAGCTGCCCTAGTGCAGGTATGTGGACATTCCTTATGAAATTTACACAATTCAGAGTGTTTTTTCAGTTTGTGGTCACTGGAATTCTTGCGTGACTGAAACCCACACATGTCTTAATCAAGAATACAAAGTCATACAAAGCTGAACTGATTTAAGGGTGCCTGCATATGTAAGTGAGGCAAAATCATATTAAAATCTTCACCCCTTACCTATTCATTACCCATTGACAGACTAGTGGATTGAATGTGATTGTGTATTTATTTTTGTAAGTTAAACTAAACCACCACTGTTTTTAATTAAAAATATTCTTCATAATTTCAGAAAATAGTGTGAGAAAATGGCTCTTTATCCATGGAAATAACGTTCATCTCAAATGTGCTCCTCTGTCAAATCTGGCAAGAGTAGTGTGGAAGTTTAATGGGAGCAGGCTGCAGGCTGAGGACTCCAGATACCTCCTCTATGATGGAGGAATGGTAATATTTAATGTGACCATGGATGAGGCCGGATTCTATGATTGTGTCTCGGTAGAGAAAGCCAAAGGGAGAGAATTCCTTACCACGGTGGCCAGCTATGTCCTTTATGCCCAACAAAAGACAGACCACGCAAGTGTTAGTGCACTTAATGGAACAGCAGACGGGAGTTTTAAGTCTTCACTACCAACTCCTTTACTGAAGGAAGCAGCAAAACAGAAATCCCCGGACGTCCAGAAAGAGAAGCTCGTTTTAAAGCTTTTGGGGGCAAGTTTTGCTCTTCTTTTTGCTTTCTTGTTGGTTTGGAACTTCTACAAGGGGCACTTCCCTCTGCCTGGGAAGGGGGAAGCCGTCTCCGGCGCAGCCCGTGCGGATCGCTCGGGAAGTCCCGGCTCGGCCGCAGAGGGATCGGGCTGCGTCAGGAAGAGCTCGGCCACGCGGGCGAACGCGTCGGCCTCTGCCAACGAATCGGTGCCGCTCGTGAGCTTCTCCTTGGAAAGGAAGGGCAGCCCCGGCGCGCAGCGCGAGGCCGGTTCCACCGGCAGCGCCGGGAGCCTGCAGCTCGCCGAGCTCTTTGCCTGAGATAACGCGTTCCTTGGGAAGGAATGGGAATGTGCGTTTGGGCGGGAGGCAGCGGCTCGGAATTGAAGATGCCGAGCTGCACTGTATATTACAGAAATGTGTTTGCAGTTACTACTTTTTAAAAACAAAATGCCTTGTTTGGGTACCTTTTTTTTGACATGATAGAGCCACAAAAATAAATTTATTTCTAAAATTAATGCTGATCCACTTTTTTTTGAAATGGTGGGGTTGCCCAATTACAGAAGTTAATACTTCAGAAGCTAATAATATTTAGCATTTAGTACTTTCACCTTCAGACTTTCTGCTTAATCCACAAATAGCAACTAATTAAGTCTCGCGGTGCCCCAGGAGGTTGATTTTATCCTCATTTTACATACGAGGTTAAAGGACTTGTCACTGACCAGAGTGAGTACAGGTTTTAGGTCTGGGGCTTTCAGAAGTTCCTGAGACACCTCCCTTCATTTTATATTTTTCTAATGTCTTTTATTTCCCCTTTATTTAAACTTTCAAAACACTTTACATACATTTGTTTGTCTATTGCATTTTTATAAACTTGGAGGCCTCTTCTGTCCAAAGACCATCAGGGATCAGCTTAGCTGCTGCGTAGTTGATCTAAAGCTATTTCTGAGGTGCACTGGAAATGCAGACACTGTAGTTGCTCCTGTTAAAGGCCATTGAACGTGAAGAATTTTGCCTGGAACTCTTCTTTTTTCTCCTTTAATAAGTATTTTCTTGTTTGGAAAATGACTTGGATTCCCTTCCAGTGAAATCCTTGGACAGAAGGCTGCGCTGTGTCACCTTTGGACAGGGCCTGGTATGTGATGTGGAACCAAGGAACGAAAAATAGTCACGAAACCCGGATCTGAGGTGCGTCCCGACTCCCGGATTGAGAGGGATTCTCCTTCCTTAGCAGGTTCCTTCGCCTTTGTCCCTTCTCCCTACATGTGGAGACTTGGATGGAGAGGAGTGGTGCGGGGGGAGGTAAGTGACACCAAAGGGATCCGGATTTCTGTGCTCTGGGGACAGTGACCGTCTCCCCTCGGGGGCAGGATGCAAAACCCCATTTCAGCAAACTCTTTAATTACCCTCATTTAAATTTGTAAAATAATTAGCTTTTAAGAAGAGTTGTGGATAACAGGTTGATACGGAAGATGTGGTGCCCTACTTGCAGCAGTGTCCTTAGAGCCGTTTATTTTAGTCCTTTTGTCCTCGGTTGCCACATTGCACGTAGGAAGGTCGGAGAATATGGGGCAAAAAAAGAGTGTTGGTGTGAACTGCAAGTGTGACAACAGGGCCCCGTGGTCCGGGAAACGGGGCAGAAGCGGCGGTTGTGCTCGTGCTGCTGCTATTTGAACTCCAGTATGGGTATTGCTGAATTATCGCTACTCCCACCTTTTCTTGTGAAGTTACTAGAATGCAACTTACCGCTTTGGTGCAGGCCACAGCAATAACCTGAAACTGCTAATGCGTGGAGAAATTAATGTGCAGGATGGGCTGGGATTAGCAAAACCTGTCTTGGGAAACTTCCTGTTAAAACATGTGTCCTATGAAGTGAAGAGCATAGAGGGGACCGGGATCCTCCGGCAGCAGCAGGACTCGTTACCGTCCTCTCCCCAGGCCCTGCTCTGCTGCACGTGCCTCGTTTGCACAGCGCCCTGCTCGGCTCTGCCGCACGGAGCGTTCCTGGTGCATCCCATCGGGATCCTCCCGGCGCCGCGAGGCCTCCAGGAGCAGCTGGAGCAGTCGGGTCCTCTCGGGGAGCAGCAGTTTCGGTCCTTCTCGTGCCTCTGTTTCCCCTCGCTCTGGTACCTGGGCAGCCCCGCGGAGCCCAAAGCTCCTCCGCAGCTGGGGAGGCCGATTCCTGCTTCCCGCAGCCCTTCCAGCCTCCCATCCGCGTCCCCTCTTCCCAGGGAATCCCCTCTTTTCCCAGAAACCCATTAGCGGCTCGTGTTAGCTTTCCCCTTGCATAACACAGAACCACAAAGAAAACTCGATTTCGGGGTGTGTCGAGACTAAGACAAAGGAGCAGGAGGGTTAATTGATTTAATTAATTAATTCTCAAGGTCTCGCCGCCCCTCCGGCTTTGCCCGGCAGGTGGTGCCGCCGAGCCGGCTCCAGCGCCCGCAATAAAGTCGGGAGAAGGAGCGGAGAAATGTGACCGGGATGGGGCACTTGGAGGAGGGAGGAAGCGGATAGGAAAAACAGGAGGAAAAAAAAAAATCGAACAAAGAAATCGCGGTGCGAAGGAGCCGCGGG